AGCCTACAACAAGGCTGTACACAGCAGCACAGGGGTTACCCCCTTCAAAGTGGCAAATGGGATAGAGTTTGTCCCCATCCCCAAGTACCCTCAGAAAGCCTCTTCATCTTTTAGCCTGGCCGAGTGGGTAGACAACATGCAACGGGTGTGGGAGGAGGTGAGAGTAGTGTTGAGGAAAGCGGCAGAGACCCAAAAGGTCCAGGCCGACAAGAAGCGGAGTCCCCAGCCCCCTTTCCAGGTTGGATAGGAGGTGTACCTTTCCATCCTATGTCTGAAGGTGCCCTGCTGAAAACCAGCCCCGAAATTCCTAGGCCCTTTCCCCATCACGTGATCAACCCAGCTCCCTCTACTGGGGAGAATACATCCAATCTTCCACAATAGCCTATTGAGGCCTGTGGAGACCTCTGATGTATGCGGTCTAGCACGGCTGAAACCCAGACCCATTTGGGGGGTGGGGGAGGTTCATTATGGGGTTAAGCGGATCTTGGATTCCCATGTACATTGGGAGGGTGTCCCGCAATACCTGATGCAATGGAAGGGATATCCCCTGTCGGAGGCATCCTGGGTGAGGAGTCGGGATGTAAAGACTGCATGGTTAGTGAGACAGTTCCACTGAGAGCACCCTTAAAAGCCAGGTGGTGGTAGATATCTGGTCAGCTTGTGCCAACATTATTTGACCATTTGGCACATCAGGCAATATATCCAAGTCCTTCACAGGAGATAAAAAGTTTCTGTTATCCATGCAGTACTTTGAGCCCAATAAGATTCTTATCCTTTAAGACAGAGTTCCTCAAACTTTCCAGCTTTGTGGATCGGCTGGGGTGGGGGTGGTGATGGTCAGAAGGACCCATCTATGACTGAGGCACAAATTGTACCTTTTCCAGGTAGTACTATGCAGTCCTCTGTGCCTTGTCATTCCTCAACTGGATTACAGTAATTTACTTCATGCAGGGATGCCCTTGAAGACCACCATCTGCAACTTCAGAACATGTCTGCTTGTTCAAAAGTGGATCAGACCACCGCTGCCATAACACACTGCTATTATTATCGTTGCACAGGCATTAGGCTACCATTCCAATTTTTTGCAATTCAATATTGCAATTCAAGGTACTGACTATTTGCTATAAAAATGTATGACAATGTAGGGCCTTGGTATCAACAAGAGCACCCATTCTAATATTGCCAGCCTCAGGGCCCCTTCAGTCAGGCCATCCACACCCTAACACCTGCCTCATGGCAGTAACACCAGCAACCATGTGCAGCAGGAGCCCACATGGCCACTGGCCCACTTCTGCTTGCTTGCGGCCACAATGGAGCAGGAAGCCGAAAAGTGTGTTGGTGCCACGGCCGTGAACCAAGGCAGGTGTTGGGGCATGGATGGCCTGGCTGCGGGGGCCCTGAGGTAAGCTGGTGCGGGGCACATGGGACAGCTCCACACACATACCTGCCTCACCTTGTGGCCGCAGTACCAGCATGTCACTCGGCCTCTTGCTCTGTTGTGGCTGCAAGCAAGCAGAAGAATTGGGCCAGCAGCTACATGGGCTCCTACTGGACAAGGCTGCCAGAGCTGCCGCTGCAAGGTGAGGAAGGTTTTGGGGCGTGGGTGGCTTGGCTGCAGGGGCCCTGAGGTAAGCTGGTGCAGGGTGCATAGGGCATCTCCACCCCCCACCCCGCCTCACCGCAGCAGCACTGACACACTGTGCAGGCTCCTGCCCCACTGTTGAGGTATTCTCCATTAGGAGAATGAGTGCACTCAGAGAAACATAGTGAGAGTGGTGAGGAATAACACGCAACCAGCACACAGATACACTGAATAGTAAAATGTAGGTTTTACTTCCTGTAAACAGGTAAACAAAGTCCAACAAACAGTCCAAATCATACACGGTTAAAGCAGGTAGTATTCAATACAATCAGTCCAGGGATAATCCAAAAACGAAGTCCAGTATCATAAACAAAGTTCAGTAAACGGAGTTTGCGAACAGTTGCAAGACTCACAGCAATCCAAGCAGAACGACGATCAGGCAAAAGGCAAGGCAATAGAGAAATGCAAGAAGTGAACAAACCAGGTTTCTAGCTCCATCTTATGGCCGTTGGAGGAACCTCAGCCAATCACAATTACAGCATTCTCTTAAAGATACAACAGTATTAAATGACTATCCTGGTTTATATATTGCCAACCCAACTGTTAGGTGACTATCATTCCTAACACCCATTGTGAGCAAGCAGAAGAAGTGAACCTCCCATACATAGGGAAAAAATTAAGACACCCTCTGAAAACCCTCTGGTGCTTATTTTGGGGGCCAAAAGAAAATAAGACCCAGTCTTATTTTCAGGAAAACATGGGTATGCCTTGGGCAGAGGTCTCAAACTTGACAGCTTTAAGACTTGTGGACTTCAATTCCCAGAATTCCTCCTCCAGTCATGTTAGCTCAGGAATTCTGGGAGTTGAAGTCCACAAGCGTTAAACTTGCCAAGTTTGAAGACCCTTGGCCTAGGGCATCACAATGTCTAGAGCTGGGCCTAATGATGGACTACAGGCTCTTGCATCTTTATGTAAGGTAGAGTTTTTCAAACCTGGCAACTTTAAGATGTGTGATCTTCAACTCCCAGTATTCCCAAGCCGCCTGCCTTAAAGTTGCCAAGTTTGAAAAATACTGATCCAGGAGATGATTATTGTAATCAGTTGGTCTCAGTGGGACTTGTGACTCTTCATATATAGGACTCATTGTTAGATGAAGAGCAAATAATCTTTATGGTCTTATTTGAACAACATGCTTAATTGAATAAAGAGTGAGACTTCATGTAAACATGAAAAACAAACTGTATTCCTTCCTTAGTTAAAGGAAGAAAAAGGAATGTAATTGATATGTATATATGAGTATTATTGATGCTGGAGTGCTGCAAAGATTTTAAAAGTGATATAAAATTATGAAATACGTTTAATAAAAATATTTAATAAAAAGAAAAAAAGAAAAACAAACTGTATTGGAGCAGAAAAGGATACATTTTAACCCAAAACAATGCTGGGCTTATTCCGTCTTAAATTATCCTATCCTGATGAAGCAAGCCAATAAACTTTTATAATTAAGTAGAAATTTTAATTTGGTCTGGTTTTTTCCCCCCAAGTCGCACCAAAAAAATGTCATTTTACTACATATTTCCCAGCTTCACATTGTTCCCATTGAATTACATATAAAAATGGTGGGGCCTCAATTGCACAGCCATAGCCACTATCTTGACTTTTTATACACATAAATACATACATACACACACATGCACATGCACACAGATGCCTTTGCCCTATTTGGTTTGCTGTTCCTCCTCTAATGTAAGTACAGGTAGTCCTTGACTTAGAACAGTTCATTTAGTGACTGTTCGAAGTTCCAATGGTACTGGAAAAAGGTACTTATGACCATTTTTCATGGATGACCATTACAGCATTCCCCATGGTCACATGATCAAAATTCAGACCTTTAGCAACTGGCTCATATCTATGATGGTTGCAGTGTCCTGGGGACATGTGATCCAGTGGTGAGCTTCAAATTTTTTAACAATCGGTTCTCTGCCCTAATGACCAGCTGGGTAGGTGTGGCTGGGTGATCATGTGACTGAGTGGGCGTGGCCAACATGATGTCACATCGAGGGCACTTTGCCTCGCCCGCCCTCTCAAGACCATGGAGATGCTAAAATGGTCGTAAGTGTGAAAAACAGTCATAAGTCATTTTTTTCAGTGCCATTGTAACTTTGAATGGGCAATATTTGATGGTAAATATTCGTCTTATGAACAGAGGATGATTCATGTGTTCATCTCTTGCACAGAACGCTTGGCCATGCCAGCTTCCGAGTTTTGCAAAGGATGGACCAATTTGCAGAAGGGTTGAATTTAAAGGGATGTAAGGCATATTTGGATCGGATTGTTCAGTATGCAAAATATCAAAGTCCAAGACATTCCCAGGTAGACAACATGATCTCTAGAGCTGGTACATGCAGATTTGGTTGGGCCAATGCAAACCAGTTTGGGAGGAGCAAAGTATGCACTGGTCATTGTAGATGACTATAACAGGTTTGGGTTCTGTTATTTACTAAAAAGTAAAATAGAGGTGCTACAGAAATTTGAGCAATGGGTAAGCTTTGTAGAAAGAAGGTATAAACAACAGGTATGTCAGCTGCAAACTGACAGAAGTTCAGAATTCATGTTAACAAGTTTTCAACAGTGGTTGGGACAGTTAAGAATAAAACACAAACACACAAATCCTTACACAGCAGCTGACAGTGGTGTTGCTGAGAGACGGAATGGAATCTTACAAACCATGAAGGACTCACTGCTAGAGGATTCTGGTCTGAGCAGGTCATATTGGGGTGAAGCCATGTTGATTGCTAATTATTTAATTAATAGGTTGTGGAGTTCCCCCATTAAAGATACTCCAGTGCTATATGGAAGAAAAACATCTCTGGCGCGTTTAAGGGTTTTTGGAAGCAATGCGTGGGTGCATATTCCAAAAGCAATTAGAAGAAAGGGACAACCAAAGGCTAGAAAGCTCAGGTTTATGGGCTATGAGCCAGGCTCAAAGAGTTATCGCTTTAGCAATGGGAGCAAGAGAATATTGATTTCAAGGTCTGCAAACTTTGCAGAACAAAATTGGAACAGAATTGATGCAAATTTCTGGAATGATTTGCTTAGTTATGGTAATCCACTTAGTGACAGTAACTCACTTAGTGACAGTAACTCATTTAGTGATGGTGTCAACGTTCAGGGAGGAGAAGCTGAAAAAGATATGAAGCAAGAGAGGGATGAAGCACAGGAGCAGTCAATGCCACGCAGGTCAGAGCAATGGAACAAAGGGATTCCACCTGACAGGTATTCTGCTAGTAAAGTTAAACTGTGTAATGTATGGTATGAGCCAAGGAACTATAAGGAATTTTTGGCATTATGTAAAATTGAACAAGTAAAGTGGAAAGAAGCCATGGACAAGGAAATGAAATCCAAGGGGGAACATGAAGTGTACACATTTATGACTTTGCTACAGGGTAGCAAAGCTGTGGGATGCAAGTGGGTGTTATGTCTCACCTTCACAAGATAGATGAGAAGTCCAAATTCCGACCAAATACAAGCAGGCAAGAAGATTCAGTATTTACAGAGTTAATTCCTTTGAGCTGGCTATGTTCTTGGCAGTATCACACACGCTGCCTGCCAAGTCCGACAAGATAACAGAAACATAAATCACTAAAGGTTTTCAGAAACAGGATACACCGAAGCTCCACAGAAAAATTCACACTTTGTCCCACACAGAGTTCCTAGAGCAAACACACCCACTTTTATTCCCTGTGGGGTGTGTCACTAACTCAGCTCAGTCTCTGATTCGTCCACGTCTCCTGCGTTGCATCTCACACTTTTTCCTGCGACGTTGCCTAGCATCAAGCCAGCATTCGTCTGCTTGATTCTCTATCAAAGGCTGCTCTGATATGCCCTCCTCCTCCTCCTGATTAGCCTCAGGCTGTCCCTCTCGGTTATCTGCCGAAACCTGAGGCATAATCAGGGAGGAAGGCATTGCCGGAGAGGAAGGTCCTGGGGAGGAAGGCATTCCCAATTCCACCTCCTCCTCATCTTCCAAATCCTCTTCCTCTAAGAATGCAGACTCAGGACTCGGAGCCACAACACTATCCCTCACCGCAGGGCCCTTCTCCCGAGTCCAACGATCAGGACGTGGTTTCAAGGGGAACTGCTCATGGAAGCTCCGTATAAGGTCCGGGGCATGGAACGTGGAAGCATCCACCCAAGAAAGGGCCTCCGGTCCATCCCCCAGCCTCTTGATGAAATACTGAAACCGTCCTTTCAACCAGCAGGAATCCCAAATACTGACCACTGCACCGTCAGCAGAGGTATCATCGCCGGGTACAGGTGGTGGAATTTCTACAGCGCGAGGTCGGAGATCACATGAAGGGGCGTCAGGAACCAAAAGGGAACGGTGGAAGACAGGATGAATCCTCATGGAGCACAGTAGGTTCAGACGATACGCTACGGGTTTGATGACCGCCTCGATAGGAAAGGGGCCGATGAACCTATGGTCCAGCTTCTTGATCGGGCGGTCGACCCGAAGATGTTTCGTGGACAACCACACCCGGTCTCCCACAGCCAGTGGGGGCGTCGCCCGGCGAGATCGATCCGCGAACCTCTTATACTCCTCCTTGCCCCGTATCAATTGCTGTCTAATCAATTGTTGCACAGAATGCAATTCCAACAAGAATTCCTGCGTCTCAGGAACCAGGAAATCTAAAAGTGTCAATGGAAAAAGCCACGGATGGAAGCCCACATTTGCATAAAAAGGTGTCATTTGGGTGGAGGTGTGCTGGGAGTTGTTGAAGGCAAACTCCGCCAGAGGGAGATAAGCCACCCAATTATTCTGTCGGTGATTGACAAAACACCGTAAATATTGTTCGAGAATGCCAATCATCTCCGTCCCACCATCAGTCTCTGGATGGTGCGCCGACAATAAGCACACCTGTACCTGCAACGCGGTCATCAGGTTCTTCCAGAATTGAGCAGTAAATTGAACACCGTGATCCGAAACTACCCTGTCTGGCAGACCATGTAGGCGAAACACACACTGTAAGAACAACTGGGCAGTAGTACGGGCCGAAGGTAATTTATGACATGGAATAAAGCGGGCCATTTTGGTTAACATGTCGACCACCACAAGTACAGTCGTAAATCCGGACGAAGATGGTAAGTGAGTTAAGAAGTCCATGGAAATCGCTCCCCATGATCTTTCCGGAGTCGGCAGAGGTTGAAGAAGACCAGGAGGCGCACCCGTCGCAATTTTCGCTTGCCTGCATGATACACAAGACGTGACATAGGCGTGGACCTCATGCCAGACTCGAGGCCACCAAAACGTCTGCGTGACAAGATGGAGGGTCTTAAAAAAACCAAAATGACCAGCTGCAGGGTTATTGTGACACTGAGTCATAATAAGGGCTCGAAGCAGCCCCGTGGGCACGTACAACCGGCCCCGATGTTTGAGTAAACCCTCCTCCAAAGTCCATGGGGAGTAGGGTCCAACCTCTCCCATCCTCTGCTGTGACCAGGCGTCTAGGCGCTGCACCTCTCGCACCTGAGTCTGCAAATCCACTGGTTCCTGGACTACGGCCAAGGATTCTGCTGGCAGCACCGTCCGCGGAGGAAGGGGGTTCTCGGGGCAAAGGTACTCAGGTTTGCGAGACAGGGCATCCGGCCTCCGATTGTGACCATTGGGGATATAGGTCACAGAAAAGTTGAACCGGGCAAAAAACAACGACCACCGGATCTGCCGCTGATTCAACTTCCTCGCCATGGACAAGTGTTCCAAATTCCGATGGTCCGTCCAGACCTCCACCTTGTGTTGGGCCCCCTCAAGATGATGTCACCAAGTCTCAAATGCAGCCTTGATAGCCAACAACTCTTTTTCCCAGATGGTGTAATTGCTCTCGGAAGGAGTGAGTTTCCGGGAATAGTAAGTGCAGGGAAAAAGAGTCGTGCTATCCTCTGGGGCTTGCAACAACACAGCCCCAATAGCCACGTTGGACGCATTCGTCTCCACCACAAAAGGACGATGCGGATCAGGATGCCTCAGGACAGGTTCTGCGATGAAGGCCTTCTTGAGGGCCTCAAAAGCCTGTTGCTGCGGGGCCCCCCACTGGAATGGGACCTTCTTTCGAAGGAGCTGGGTTATTGGACCCGTCAGCTTGGCAAAACCCGGGATGAAGGTCTGGTAATAATTAGCAAACCCCAAGAGGCATTGAACGTCCTTCACGCGACGAGGGGGTTCCCAACTACACAAGGCCTCCACTTTACGCGGGTCCATGGCGATGCCTTCGGGAGAGATGATGTGCCCCAGGAACTCTATGGAAGTCTGGAAGAAGAGGCATATCTCCAGCTTCGCAAAGAGTTGATGCTCTCGAAGACATTGCAATACCAGACGAACGTGTTGAAGGTGGCTGTCCCTGGACCTGGAATAAATCAAAATATCATTCAGATACACCACCACAAACCGATCTAACATGTCCCAAAACACATCGTTCATCAGGTGCTGGAAGACCGTGGGAGCGTTGGTCAACCCAAACGGCATCACATTGTACTCATAATGGCCGTATTGGGTGCCAAATGCCATCTTCCATTCGTCCCCCTCTTGCATCCGCACCAGGTTGTAGGCCCCTCAAAGATCGAGCTTGGTGAAAACAGTGGCCTCCCGCAACCTCTCCAACAACTCCGGGATGAGCAGCAAGGGGTAGCTATTCTGCACCATGATGACGTTCAACCGGCGGTAATCGCAACACAAACGTAAGTCTCCCGTCTTCTTCTTGATGAAAAGAACAGGAGCTGAGAGAGGGGACGACGACGGCCGGATGAACCCTCGGGCCAAGTTCTTGTCCAAAAAGTCATGTAGGGTGGCCAGCTCGGGCTCGGACATGGAATACAGACGTCCCTTGGGCAGCGGTACATCAGGCAGAAGGTCCACCGGGCAATCATAGGGCCGATGCAGGGGTAACCGGTCCACCTCCTTCTCACTAAACACATCCGAGAAGTCCGACAGTTCAGGAGGTATGGAGACGGCAGAGGTGGTGATGTCCTGGCCAGCACAGGTGTGGCATAAATGGTCCACGCACTGCAAACTCGGAAAAGAAATGGCATTCCGTGACCATGCCACCTGAGGATCATGAGTCCAAAGCCAGGCCATGCCAAGGACTAATGGGACATGGAGGTCTGCAGTGACATAAAAGCGGATCGCCTCCTCATGGTCTCCAATGACCAGGCGCAAAGGCTGGGTAGCGAATTGAATGGGTCCAGCAAGAAGTTCCCTCCCATCAATAGTCTTGACCCTCATTGGAGGGTCTACCGGAACCAAGGGGACATCAAAATGAGCCTCAAAGGCCTGGTCCATAAAGTTAGTCATGGCCCCCGAGTCCACCAGTGCAATCATGGGAATCCCTTTCGACTGGGTCGTCCAGAAAACCCGAGTGTCCAGAAGTAGATGCCGAGGGGGCCCAGAGTCAACCTCCTCTACTTCAGGCGGGTGTTTGATACGTGCCCGGCCTAGGGTTTCCCCAAGGTTGGGCTGGCCTTGTTTCCCCAACTGATCAGGCCGAGATTCCAGTACAGGCGTGAATGCCCCCCTTCGCTTAATAGTACAAGAAATAGCAAAATGTCCTGGCCCCCCACAATACAAACACAAACCTCCTTGAAGTCTCTGTGTTTGCTCTTGGTCTGTCAGGCGAAGTCTGACCGCTCCCAACTGCATTGACTCCTCGGCTATTGCCACGACACGTTGGGTGACTCGGGGCGCTGGTTGAACAGGGCGCTGTGGCAGAGATGTGGATGGCTGCTCCTGGACGGGGCGTCGAGTCTTGTGCCGTTGAAGTCGGGCATCAATGCGTAAGCATTGCACCACCAGAGCGTCGAGGGTCAGGGCTGGTTCCACTCGAACCAACACATCCTGCAGCTCATCGGACAGGCCATCCTGAAAAGCGTCCATCAAGGCAGCATCATTCCAATTGGAATCCAGACAGATCAGCCGAAATTCCGAAATGAACTCCAGCAGGGGGCGCTTCCCTTGGCGAAGTTCCTTCAGACGTCTGGCTGCCGTCTGCACCCGTATGGGGTCCTCACATTTGGCGCATATGTTGCCAAAACCCCTGATAATCCGTTAACAACGGGCTGTTCTGCAGTAATAAAGGAGTGGCCCATCTGGCAGCAGAGCTCGAAAGGAGGCTTATTAAAAATCCCACCTGAGCCCGGTCATCTGGGAAATCCTCCGGCCTCAGAGCCATAAACAATTGGCACTGTCCCATGAAAGCCGGGAACATCTCAGGCTGCCCAGAAAACTTATCCGGCACAGCCACTGGGCATTTCCAACGGGGAGGGGCAGGAGGAGCAGCATGAGCCTGCAGCAGAGCAAGTTGATTAGTTAGCTGGGCCACCTGCTGTTGCAAAGCCTGGTTTTCATTCTGCAGCTGCTGGTGAAATTGATGGTTTACGTGTGAGGTGCGGGACAAAAATGTTATGTCTCACCTTCACAAGATAGATGAGAAGTCCAAATTCCGACCAAATACAAGCAGGCAAGAAGATTCAGTATTTACAGAGTTAATTCCTTTGAGCTGGCTATGTTCTTGGCAGTATCACACACGCTGCCTGCCAAGTCCGACAAGATAACAGAAACATAAATCACTAAAGGTTTTCAGAAACAGGATACACCGAAGCTCCACAGAAAAATTCACACTTTGTCCCACACAGAGTTCCTAGAGCAAACACACCCACTTTTATTCCCTGTGGGGTGTGTCACTAACTCAGCTCAGTCTCTGATTCGTCCACGTCTCCTGCGTTGCATCTCACACTTTTTCCTGGGACGTTGCCTAGCATCAAGCCAGCATTCGTCTGTTTGATTCTCTGTCAAAGGTTGCTCTGATATGCCCTCCTCCTCCTCCTGATTAGCCTCAGGCTGTCCCTCTCAGTTAACTGCCGAAACCTGAGGCATAATCAGGGAGGAAGGCATTGCCCGAGAGGAAGGTCCTGGGGAGGAAGGCATTCCCAATTCCACCTCCTCCTCATCTTCCGAATCCTCTTCCTCTAAGAATGCAGACTCAGGACTCGGAGCCACAACAAGTGGGTGTTATGACTCCCCTTCGAAATTCAAACGAACAAAACAGAAAGCAGCCGTTTCACAATTAAATCAAACGGAAAGAAGTCTTACAAGATAACGGCTGACAGAAACCACAGCATAAATCTTTACTCTGTCCGGCAAACCAGTCCTGGCAATAAATCTCCAGCCTCAGAGCTCTTTGCTGTAACGTCTTCACTCAAATAGTTATTTTGTTCCTGGCAAAATGTACCAGCCCAGCTGTGTCCTTTTATACTCATTAAGGCAACATGCTAATTTACTGACTTGCTCTTCTCATTCGCTCCAGCTGATTTTGCCTTTTCAACCGTCTTCTATTTTTTACATTTAACCACAAATTTTCCAAGTTCTCATCTCCACTAGAAGACTCTCTCAAAACTTCCCTGTCAGCCATTCCCGGCTGTTGATCAGATAAGGAACCAGAGGAGGTCAAAGGTCCTGACAATTCTAATACATCAGGTCTGTCGTCCTTTGTCACGTCCATCTCCTCATCCTGGTTATCAGTCCAATCAGTAAGCCAGGCCGGCTCATATTGTTCTGCCATGCCCTCCTCCCCTTGAACTCATATCAATCACAGGAGCTGAATCCAAGCCCGGAGCCACAACACTATCCCTCACCGCAGGGCCCTTCCCCTGGGTCTGATGATCCGGATGCGGTTTCGAAGGGAAACGTTCATGAAAGTCCCGAATGATGTCTGGAGCATGAACTGCAGACACATCCATCCATGAGCAAATTTCCGAGTCATCCACTCTCCTCCCGACTAAATACTGAAAACGACCCTTGAGCCAACGCGAATCAGTAACGCTGACCACCGTGTCATCAACCTCCGCCTCCTCACGGGGCGTTGATGGGGAAGTCGTACCAGCTGGAGCACGCAGAGGACAGTCCGGGGAGTCAGGAACCAAAAGAGAGCGATGGAATACAGGGTGAATATGCATGGAGCGCGGTAAGGTGAGCCGGTATGCCACAGGGTTGATAACCGCCTCAATCGGGAATGGACTGATGAAACGATGGTCCAATTTCCTAATTGGGCGATCGATCCGAAGGTGTTTCGTGGACAACCACACCTTGTCACCCACAGCTAACGGAGGCGGTGCTCGACGTGACCGGTCCGCAAACCGTTTATAGTCCTCTTTCGCTCGTTCAAGTTGTTGCCTTACTAAACGGTGGACCGCTTGTAGTTCCTCCAGAAAATCTTGTGTCTCAGGAACCGGTGAATCCATCCAAGTTAATGGGAAGAAGCGCGGATGATAACCTACATTTGCGAAAAATGGCGTTACCCGAGTGGAGGTGTGCTGCGAGTTATTAAAAGCGAATTCTGCCAATGGGAGGTATTTCGCCCAATCGCTTTGTCGCTGATTAACAAAACACCTCAAATATTGGGTAAGAATGCCAATCACCTTCTCAGTCCCGCCATCAGTTCCCTGATGGTGCGCTGACGCTAAGCACACCTGAACTTGTAGCGCTGCCATTAACTGTTTCCAAAACTGCGCAGTAAACTGAACCCCACGATCAGAAACCACTCTATCTGGCAGTCCATGCAGACAAAAGATATGCTGTAAAAATAGCTGAGCCGTAGTGCGGGATGAAGGTAATCTCCGACAGGGAATGAAATGAGCCATTTTAGTCAGCATATCAACTACCACGAGCACCGTCGTGAAGCCCGACAAGGATGGTAAATGCATGAGAAAGTCCATGGAGATCGCTCCCCATGGTCTGCCCGGAGTCGGCAATGGTTGGAGGAGTCCAGGGGGCGCACCCAACGCCGCTTTTGCTTGCCTACACTGGACGCAAGAAGCGACGTAAGAGAACACATCGTGACGAACCCGAGGCCACCAAAAAGTCCGGGTGACCAAATGCAAGGTTTTATAAAATCCAAAATGGCCAGCAGCGGGGTTATCATGACATTGTGTCATGATGAGAGCTCTCAACGACCTGGTAGGTACGTATAATAAACCCCGATGTTGGAGCAAGTCCTCTTCAATGGACCATGGAGAATCAGGTCCGACGTCCCCCCGTCTCTGCTGCGTCCACGCATCCAATCGTTGCGCCTCTCGTATGCGAGCCCGCAAGTCTACTGGATCTTGCAGTATGGCCAAGGATTCTGGTGGTAACACCGTTCGTAGAGGAAGAGGATCCTCGGGCCCGATATACTCGGGCTTCCGAGACAACGCGTCTGCCCTCCGATTCTGTCCACTCGGAACATAAGTAACGGAGAAATTGAACCTGGCAAAAAACAACGACCACCGAATCTGGCGTTGGTTCAATTTCTTAGCTGTGGTCAAATGTTCCAAGTTTCGGTGATCTGTCCGAACCTCTACCTTGTGCCGAGCCCCCTCTAAATGATGTCTCCAGGTCTCAAAAGCAGCCTTAATGGCCAACAACTCCTTTTCCCAGATGGTGTAGTTGCGCTCTGAAGCTGTGAGCTTCCTAGAATAGTATGCGCATGGGAAAAGAGGCGCGCCATCCTTTGAAGCTTGTAACAGTACCGCTCCGATAGCGACATTAGAGGCATCGGTCTCGACCACAAATGGACGATTCGGATCAGGATGCCTCAATATTGGCTCGGCTACAAACGCTTTCTTTAAAATGTCAAAAGCCTGTTGTTGCGGGGGGGCCCACACAAACGGGACCTTCTTACGGAGGAGCTGAGTTATGGGGTCCATTACTTTAGCAAAGTCCGGGATAAAAGTCTGATAGTAGTTGGCGAATCCCAAAAGACGTTGGACGTCCTTGACTCGACGAGGGGCTTCCCAACTACACAATGCCTCAACCTTTTTAGGGTCCATAGCAATGCCCTCGGGAGAAATGATGTGCCCTAAAAACTCTATCGACGACTGAAAAAAGAAACACTTCTCCAGTTTCGCATAGAGCTTATGCTCCCGAAGACGCTGCAGCACTTGACAGACCTGATGAAGGTGGTGATCCCTGGACCGAGAGTAGATTAAAATATCACCCAGATACACCACGACAAACCGATCCAGCATGTCCTGAAAAATGTCGTTCATCAAATGCTGGAATACAGCGGGAGCGTTGGTTAGACCAAATGGCATGACGGTGTACTCAAAATGACCATAACGAGTGCCAAACGCCATCTTCCACTCATCCCCCTTGCGCATCCGAACCAGGTTGTAAGCCCCATGCAGATCGAGTTTAGTGAAGATAGTAGCCTCCCGCAACCACTCCATCAATTCCGGAATGAGCAGTAAGGGATAGCTATTCCTCACGGTGATAAAGTTTAGTCCTCTATAATCACAACAGAGACGCAGTTCTCCCGACTTCTTCTTAACAAAAAGAACGGGAGCCAAAAGAGGGGACGACGAGGGTCGAATAAATCCCCGAGCTAAGTTTTTATCCAAAAACTCTCGGAGTGCAACCAACTCGGTCTCCGACATGGAGTATAATCTCCCCTTTGGCAATGGAGCGTCCGGTATCAGGTCCACGGGACAATCATAAGCATGATGTGGGGGTAATCGGTCTGCCTCCTGTTCGCTGAAAACATCGGAGAAGTCCGACAGCTCCGAAGGAATTGAGACAGCAGGAGCGGCGATATCTTGGCCAGCGCAAACATGCCTCAGGTGGTCCACACATTGTAGGCTTGGAAAAGAAATGGCGTTCTGCGACCAAGCCACCAACGGATCGTGCAAACGCAACCAGGACATTCCGAGCACCAAAGGGAGATGGAGGTTCGAGGTGACATAAAAACTTATCGCCTCCTCATGATCCCCAATACGCATACGCACTGGCTGAGTAGCACAGCGAATAGGTCCCGACTTGAGTTCACGCCCATCTACGGTTTCCACCTTAATGGGTGGATTCACAGGAATCAAAGGAATTCTAAAATGTTTAACAAAAGCACAGTCCATAAAGCTGGTTGTAGCCCCTGAATCCACCAGCGCAACGGCAGGAATTCCTTCCTTCTGGGACTGTAAGAAGATACAAGTGTCCAAAAGTAAGTGCTGAGGAGGACCAGGATTTACTTCGGCAATTTGGGATGGGGGTGTAGGATGTGCCCGACCTAGGGTTTCCTGCAGGTCGGGCCTACCCCGTTTCCCGACGAGCCAGGAGTGGTTTCAGACACAGGTCTGCGAGTCCTTCTCCAAGTGCAGGAATTTGCAAAATGTCCCGGACCCCCACAATAAAGGCACAAGCCCTCCTGGAACCTTCTCGAACGTTCTCGCACCGTTAAGCGAGGGCGGAGTGCACCTAACTCCATCGGCTCCTCAACATTAACCGTGGGTTGGAAAACTCTCGGTGGCGTGGGTTGTGCACGAGAAAACGAAGATGGTTCCATAACGAGCCGTTTGCGTCCACGTTGCTGTAAACGAGCTTCAATTCGTAAGCACTGAACTATCAATGCATCCAAAGTTAAAGCCCGCTCTGCATGAACCAGCTCATCCTTGATGGCATCAGACAAGCCTTCCTGGAATGCAGCCATATGAGCCGGTTCGTTCCAGTTAGAGTCCATACACAGCAAACGAAATTCTGCAACGTATTCCTGCAGGGAACGTTTCCCCTGATTAATGTCCCGTAACCGTCTGTCCACAGTTTGTATCTTAATTGGGTTCTCAAACATCACTCTCATTTGTTGGAGAAAACCCTGGAAATTATTCAACAATGGGCTATCTTGAACTAACAAGGGAGTAGCCCAATTAGCAGCCTGCCCGGTTAATAAACTGATCATAAATCCTACTTTAGACCGGTCAGTTGGGAAGTCTTCAGGCCTCAGAGAGATAAACAATTGGCATTGACCCATAAATGCCGGGAACCTGTCCATTTGCCCAGAAAATTTCTCCGGCATGGATACTGGGCTTTTCCTCACAGGAGGGGCAGGGGGAATAGCAGCAGGGCTTGGTAAGCTGGAAACATAATTCAGCAATTGTGTTACCTGATTCTGAAGCGTCACATTGCTTTGCAGTAGCTGATTAATTTGTTGTTGTTGTTGCTCTACCAAACGCTGCAGTTGATTTGAATCCATCTTGCTTTAAAGATGGTTTGTTTGGGCCAGGAACAATAATGTTATGACTCCCCTTCGAAATTCAAACGAACAAAACAGAAAGCAGCCGTTTCACAATTAAATCAAACGGAAAGAAGTCTTACAAGATAACGGCTGACAGAAACCACAGCATAAATCTTTACTCTGTCTGGCAAACCAGTCCTGGCAATAAATCTCCAGCCTCAGAGCTCTTTGCTGTAATGTCTTCACTCAAATAGTTATTTTGTTCCTGGCAAAATGTACCAGCCCAGCTGTGTCCTTTTATACTCATTAAGGCAACATGCTAATTTACTGACTTGCTCTTCTCATTCACTCCAGCTGATTTTGCCTTTTCAACCGTCTTCTATTTTTTACATTTAACCCCAAATTTTCCAAGTTCTCATCTCCACTAGAAGACTCTCTCAAAACTTCCCTGTCAGCCATTCCTGGCTGTTGATCAGATAAGGAACCAGAGGAGGTCAAAGGTCCTGATAATTCTAATACATCAGGTCTGTCGTCCTTTGTCACGTCCATCTCCTCATCCTGGTTATCAGTCCAATCAGTAAGCCAGGCCGGCTCATATTGTTCTGCCATGACCTCTTCACTTGAACTCATATCAATCACAGGAGCTGAATCCAAGCCCGGAGCCACAACAAGTGGGTATACAAGAAGAAAGTACTGCCCAATAATGAGGTACAATATAAAGCAAGGTTAGTGGCACAAGGGTTTTCAAAGATGAAAAATGTGCACTATGATGAGGTATTCGTGCCAGCTGTAAAGAGTGAAAGCATCAGGCTGGCACTAACGTAGGCAGTGGCACATGGCCATAAAATTTGGCATTTTGACATAACCACTGCATTTCTCAATGCAGAATTAGAGGAAGAAATTTACATGGTTCAAACACCAGGGTATGAAAGTAAAAAGCCTAATCTATATATATAAAAGCGAAAAAGCACTCATGTGTCATCACAAAATCTCCAGAACTGTAAAGCCTACAAACTTGAAATTTGGCACGTATGTTCCTCTTGGCTTCTTGGTGCTCACTAAGGAAGGATTTTTCAAAATGACCATCAGAGCATTAGTATTTCCTTTATTATTGTTAACATGTTCTGATGCTAAGGAGTTCTACTACTCCTCCCCATCTGAAAAGAAATCTCTTCAAACTGCAGTTGAGCAAAGCCACGCCCAGGCTCCTTTCTGTCTCCTTCTTGCTCACACAGCAAATACTGTTTCACTTTCCAAACAGCCCTGAACTGTCTCACACACTGACAGGACACTAGCCAGATGAATACCGATGGATGCTGGTAGGCAGAGGCACAATTTCCCCACCTTATTTTCCTCCCAAAAAACTTGCCCAATCACATAGTTTCATAGTGAAGCAAGGGTACCCTGCTAGTTATTCATAGTATGCTTTCACTTCAATGGAAAGTCCTTCCTGTTTCTCCCATTAGATTCCCCCACTCCCCCCTATTTTAGTCAGAAAGATAAAACATAACTGTCATAAATTACCTTGAGGAGCAGAAAACTTCACCCTTCTTTATCCTGTATGTTAAAACCAGCATGCCAGTCTTACAACTCAACATGTGCTGCTTTCCCATTACAGTACTGTGTTAATTTTTTTTAGATAAGGGTAGCCAACTTCAGCAACTTTAAGACTTGTGGACTTCAACTCCCATGCTGGCTGGTGAATTCTGGGAGTTGAAGTCCACAAGTCTTAAAGTTGCCGAGGTTGGACACAGCTGTTTTAGAAAAAAGAAGGAAAAAAAGCTTCACCAGTTTAATTGTTGCCTATAATGCGAGGGAGGAGCCTGATCTACAAGGTGCTCAATTTTCTTTCTCGCTCCCTCCCTCCCTTCTCTCTTGGGCCCTAATGGACTCTAGCTTTGAGGTGACGGAAGCTCAGGATGGCCCCCACCCTGGCCAACTCTTAATGACTTATGACCATTTTTTACACTTACAACCCCTGTAGCATCCCCATAGTCATGAAATCAAAATTCACATCCTTGGCAACTGGTTCATATTTATGATGGTTGCAATATCCTGATCACCTTGGTTATCATTTGAGAGCTGAATGCAATGAAATTTCATTTTAATGTATGATTAGTGTACATTTAAAGTGACAAAGTTTCTATTCCTATTCTATTATTCTATTCTATTCACCTTTTGCGACCTTCTGACAAGTAAAGTCAATGGGGAAGCCAGATTCACTTCACAACTTTGTTACTAAATTAACAACGGCAGCTATTCATTTAACAACTGCAGCAATTCACTTAATGGTGACAAGAAAGGTCGTAAAATGGGGCAAAACTCAGTTAATAAATGACTCACTTAACAACAGAAATGTTTTCAATTGTGGTTGTAAGTTGAGGACCACCCATAATGTAAGTTAACTGTCAGCCAGCTTGTTGCTTGCTGCCTTAGAATAGGGGGAGGGAACTGTGGAGACAATTAAATTGCAACTTTGCAACTGCAGTTATCTCCAAGGCCAGATCCGTTGGCTCTGGTATGCAGTGGCCTCTGCTTGCCTAGCTAAAAGGGGGTTGGGCTGTATACTGTGTTTGAAGGTGCTGTGTTCATGCTTTTTTTGCCTCAGAGCTTGCTTGAAACTGTCTGCTTTCAGTTTGTTCCTAGTAAATCCTTTTTTGCAGTTCTGTGTAGTTCGTAGTAAAAGTACAGATTTTGCAGTTCTGTGCAGACCACTTCGTGTCAACTAAAAAGATACTCCTTTGGTCTTTTTAGCTGCCAGAAAAAGGGAGTGGGAGAAAACAAGGCATTCCTTAAATGCCTACATAATCACCCCCGGCAGCCCAAAGTTGTCGGAGCGTAAGAAGGTTATTGGAGAGCATGATGGATGACTCTTGGAGATGGATGTGTCCCATTGGAGAATATACATCCATGGGGTGGGGGGGAAGACCAGGGCAAGGGGGAAATGTATGATGTAATTTAGTATTGGCTGCACCCAGTTAAACGTCAACATGGCCACTTCTAATAAATCAATTTTCTTTTCTCTGAGATGCGGCTAGAGATTTTTGATTTGAATGGGGGTGGATTTGTTGGCGCCCTGACACTTCGCTTGTATCATGCACGCACACATTAGGTTTTCATGGGCGTTTTAATTACATGGAGGGTGATAAAGGGTCTCCTCTTGAGTATCTTCAGGTAGGGCAAAGTTGTGGGTTGCTCCCTGTGCCTCTCACCTTGAGGGGTTTTAGGAAAAGTCCTGGAAAGTCAGTCAAGAGAGGAGCAGTAAGGAAGTGCTTTACTCTGGAGAAGGGGGGAAATGTACAGGTAGTTGTTGACCTACGACTACAATGGAATATATTCTTTATTGGCCACGTGTGATTGGACACAAAAGTAATTTGTGTCTCGTGCATACGCTAATCAATTGAGCTCAAAATATCTGTTGCTAAGCAAGACAGTTGTTAAGTGAATCTGGCTTCCGCAATTGACTTTGCTTGTCAGAAGGTCGCAAAAGGGGATCACATGATGTTGGGACACTGCAACTATCATAAATATGAACCAGTTTCCAAGCCTCCAAAATTTGATCATGTGACCAAGGGGATGCTACAATGGTCATAAGTGTGTAAAATGGTCATAAGCAGAGGTGGGATTCAGCTGGTTCAGGCAGGTTCAGGCGAACCAGATGTTAAGTTTACATCTGGTTTGCCGAACCGGTAGTTGAACTGACCGACTGGCCCCATGCACCCCACCTCTCCTCTCCCAGGAGTCTCCACACGGCCTGTTTTGGATGCAGGTAAGTGCAGGGTCCGCAAAGAGGCTCTGGGAGGGCAAAAAATGGCCCTCCCAGAACTTCCAGAAGTGCAGAAATGGACCTGTTTCTGGCTTCTGTAGGGCCTTTGGAGACTGGGGGAAGCCGTTTTTGCCCTCCCAGAGGCCCAAGGGAAGCCTCCAATCTCTGGAGAAGGTGAAAAATGGCCCTCCTGGAAGTTCCAGTAGGCCATGCCCACCATGGCCACGCCCACCTAGCAACCGGGCAGAGAACCAGTTGTTGGGATTTTTGAATCCCACCCCTGGTCATAAGTCACTTTTTTCCATGCCTTTGTAACTTTGAATGGTCACTAAATGAATGGTTGTAAGTCGTGGACTACCTGTACATTAAAAATGGGCTGTGTAAAGTTGAGCAATGGTGGCAGGGCAAATTCCTCAGCAATTAATTTGCGAGGCGACTTGCAGAGAAGTAGTGGCATTGCTCTGTGGCAGGAAATGCACCAAGGGACATAGTGGCTTAACCTTTTTGTTTTGGAGCCTTTTGTTTTGTCTGGTGTGATCGTGTGAATGCACAGCCGAGATTGGGGGCTTAGCTTTTTCCCCCTTCCACATGCCTGTATTCACATTCACTCAGCCAATGCAGATTGTACCTGTACCCCCTACTCTTGGAAGAGTGGGATCTTTTAACCTCAAAACTCCCTGTTTTTCTCCAAGAAGTCTTTGCACTTGGATGCACAAAATGTTTGTGTGTTTGTGTGTGTAACAGAACTATGAAACAATTGAAGGAAAGCAGGAGGGGCAGGAAAAATCCACCACCTTCCCCTTCTGCTAACGAAAAAGGATTCCACAGAACTGGATTAATGTGAATCCAGAAAAACTTTTATACTACAGTATTGTTTTTAGATTGGGGGCGGATTGAGATTGGTGTAGATGACCCAAAATTTCCCTGGTATTAGTAAACATCCCTTGCCAGAGCCCATTGGACTCCCCCCCAGATCCTCAAACCTGCCCCCCCACATGGCTGCCCCCTTCCCCCCACCCATTTCCTTTCCCCTGTCCCATGCATGGAATTTGCTCCCCCTCCTGTATCTCACCCTCTGAAGGAGCCATGTTCAGATTTGGAGGTACCTGGGACAGGACTGTGAGATACAATATAATAAGTTGTAATTTTCCATAATGTAGACTAGCATATAGCTTATGAATGACATACAATTTATATAAAGTTTATTCTTTGTTCAAATTACCTAGCATTAGTATTTTAAAGTATAGCCACACTAATACATGTCCAAGGCACAGCCATATTTGCCCAATGAATGAACCCTGACAGGCAATGACGTACACAGCTTCTGGCTTGAAATATGTACCAGGTACCACATTATACAGAAAAACAAGGGAAAAAATGAAAATGGAGCTCATTGCTTTGTGAAAAAGTTCCCTGAAATAATTATAATGGTTGGTTTGCCTGGAGAAAGCATGAAATGAAATTTTTGTATGTGAAATTGTTTACACAAGCAGTCTGCAGTACAAATGTGTGAGTACAAATGTGTGAGTACAAATGTTGATGGTAAAAGTTGGTGTGAATGCCTGTGTGTTGACCCCATCCCAGACTGAAAGGGGCTAATACTTTGATTCCCTTTCTTACAAAGAAACAGTAAGTTGCAAGGATTTTGTTGTTGTTGTAAAGTAAGTGGAAAGGCAATAGCAAATGTTTTCAAGGGAAAAAAATAAGAAAGGTCCCATGGAGGATGTGGGAGAGAAATTTGTGGAAAAAAGTGTGTGATTTACTGAAAAGGGAGAGAGAGAGAAACAGAGAAAATTATTTTGTTGAAAGGATGCTGAGTGGAGAAAGGGGGTGAGATTTCTGTGTAGTCTTTTAAACATTTTTCTCTTTCACTGGTTGTTATTTTTCATTCTTTAACTCAAGGACTTTCTGCCTTGAAGGAGAGAGAGAGAGAGAAGCAGGAAAGTGGGGCTGCGGTTCTTCTGTTCCTTTTAACCATTTTTTTCTCTGCTTAGTTGAAACTGAGCTGTTGCCTGAGAAAGGCAGAGTAAATGTAACGTCTGATACCTGCTTTTGCAGTTTTGGTTTGCACTGTTTTTGGTCTGCATATAGAAAG